TTTAGAATCATAACCTTAAATGAGTTGTTTCACTCAATTAGAATTCAATTCACAATTCAAAAATATACTTTATTAAATGTTTATACTTGCATTTGAAACTAATTATATATTATAATATAATTTGTTTCTAAATCCATGTTTCAATATTTAATAAGGTAGATTTCTAAATTTTAAATCAGATTTTTGGTTTCTAAATATAAGTATTAATATTTAACAATGTGAATTTTTAAATTTTAAAGGTTAAATACCCTTTTTGGTCCCTTTACTATTAAAAAAAAAACCCCCCGTTTTGGTCCCTATACTAAAAAAATCCCCTTTTTGATCCTTACAGTTTAAAATTCGACTCCTTTTTAGTCCATTTGTTAAATTTTGGCTGATATAGCATGTTAATTAATGAAAAAACTTTTTTTCTTTTCTTAAATTATGTGGCAAAATCCATCTGATGACATGGTCAAAATTTTTTTGACTAATATAACCTTAAAAATCATTTAATTACATAATTGCCATTATAAATATTTTAAAGGTTATTTTGTAATTAAAAGTAATTGACTTTAATTACTTAATTGCCCCCATCTTCTTCTCCATTGTGTTTATCCTATCCTTCCTTTGGCTTCGTTATTTTTTTTCACCTTGGTTGGGTTCATCGCGTACCCAGCGCCATGCCTGGGTTGGGCATTGAAGAACCCAGGCGCTAGGTTCTTCTTTCTAGATCTTTAGATCTGACTCCCTCTTCTTCTTCATCATCATCTCTATGTATATAGAATCATGCCTTTCCATTGTATTTCGTATTCCATTTTCATTTCACTATCTTTGAACATGAATGACGGGGATTTAACTTTTGACTTTTGAAGTTCATTGGATGATTAGATTGTTCATAGTAACGATTTCGAGTATTGTAGCTGGAGATTCAGATCTCTTTTGTTGTGCATTTCACTTTCTATATTACTTTGCTTTTTAGCTTGCATTTATTGATTCTAAGTATGAAGGATTTTGATTTAGTTTTTGAATTTCAACCATTAATTTAATCATTCAAAGAATTGGATCTTAACCTTTATGTTATCCATTTTCTATGCGTGTTCATTGTGAGATTTTTTTTTTGTTTTTAATTGATGAAATCAGTGTTAGTCTTTGAATTTCTATTTAGTTTTTGAATTTCAATTTTTTCAACATATTGATGCTAGCCAGAAGAAATGGTTGGCTGGAGCTAGGCACGATGAACCCAACGCTTGGGTTTGCGACAAACCCAACGCAAAGGCTCCAGAGGATAAGGCAGAAGGGGGAAGAAGGGTGAGATGTTCATGGTGAGATACTTAATTGGGGAGTCATTGTCAATTTATCAAGAAAAAGACTCAGTCGGATGAAAAGAGAGAATAAGAAAGGAGAGGAAAGGATGAGGGGAGAGAGAAGACTCTGTCAACTTTGGTTTAGATGGAGGAAAGAGAAGATGGGAAGTTGAAGATGAAGTTTAAGGGTAAATTTGTAATTTTAACTTTTATAATTAAAATATATACTTATTAAAATTACATGTTATATTTAATATTAATACACGAGATGCTACATCATTTTTTTACACCATGGATTTTTCACATCATTTATATAAAAAATAAATTACACAATTCCATTAATTAACATGCCACATCAATCAAAATTTAACAGAATGATAAAAAAAGGGCCGAATTTCAAACTATAAGGATTAAGAAAGGGATTTTTTTAGTACAATGACCAAAAATGGGCTTTTTTCAATAGTAAAGGAACCAAAAATGGTATTTAACTAATTTTAAATTAAATTTTAATTAAATAAAATGATATCGCTTAAAGTTAGGATTATATTTTTTTATGAGTTAGACTGATTTGCACCATTCTTATATATTAATAGAGTTTTCTATGTACCAAAAAAAAAAATTCTCTTAAAAAGTATATATATTAGACTTTTATTCAAAGACAAAATCTAGGTAGGATGCTTTGAAATAAATCAATCTTTTTTATAGTAAGATTCAATTCTTTATGAATAAAATACTAAATTATATTCAAGATTCAATAGTAGTTATTAATGAGAAAATATTTTTGATATAATTAGATTATTTAATTAAAGGATATTGGGTTTGTTTAATTTAGACAGGGAGCTATTAATTTCCACTTAAACTATAGTACAAATAAAAAATTAATAAGAACTATTTTTATATAGATCTAAATCATCTAATTCTTGATGAATAAGATACCAAAATTATTCAAGATTGAATTATAATAGTTAATGATAAAATATTCTATTCTATATTAATTTTCAAGGCATAAATGCGGTTAATGTAAGAGTTAACTAAAAATATATTCAATTCTCTCTATAGCCTTTAATATAGAGTTAACTAAAATAAAAATAAGATTTAACATAGAAAATATATTCAAGATTTAATATTATTAAATTAACATAGAAAATATATATTTTATCTTATAAGATTTAATATGGAGTTAATATTTAATATATATATATTCGAGATTTATTAAAAATATATTAAGTATGTTGATAAACAATTAACATAGATATTGAGGATTGATTCAAAGCGTACCATTTAAAGCTGCTAACGAGCTTCAATTTATATAAATTTTTTTTTTTTACTCGAGTTGGAATTTAGTTATTTCAATAACAAACCCACAAGAATTTCATTTCTCATATGTTGGTAAAAGTTGTACTCATACTAAAGTTTTTTTTTTTTTTTATTGATCTTGGTTGTACAATGAAAAGCAACCGTCTCACATTTTTTTTACCACCTCACTCATATGTTATATGACTCGAACTCAAAACTTTTTTTTTTTTAATGGAGGAAATAACTACTGAGTTATTTAAGTTATTAACTGTACTTATACTAAAGTTAAAATACAAAATAACAAGACTTCTATGTTTTTCTTTTTCCATATCAAAGTTCAAACACACAAAAAACTTGTTAGGGAAGTAAGACTTGTACAATTTTAAGCCAGGGTGATTAAAGATGCAATCAAAGCTCAAATGCAGGTGCAGGCCAGACTTTTAACTTTTTTTGTTTTGAATTTTATATTATATATATTTACGTGAAAAAATAATTAAAGAGAAATATACATGAAAAAACATAACTAAAACGAATGGATAATAATTACTATACTTTTTGATTTAATGTATTACACAATACATTTTGGTTTAATCATTAAAATTTGTTTTTAAAAATTTTCTCATTATAAATTTAAATTTAAAGATAATAATTTTGTTGATAAATATGTTATAAGATATGTTGAACTAGATAATCTACTGATCATTTTCCAAAAATATATAGACATGTAAGTCATCTAATTTTTCATTTCCATTTGCTCAATACTCTGTCACATCAAAATTTTTAGAATAAACTAAAATAGCCAAGCACAAAATTGTTAACGGTATGCTCAAAAAATCCTGCATCAACAATAAATTAAAAACAAATATATTTATGTAGGGACAGAAAAAGCCTTTTTAGATAAATAGCTATGGTTGATGCGAAAATATGCCTACCATGTTGATAGAAGTACAAATCTTTGATCACAAAATTCAATGCTAATCTAGCTTTCCTTCACGTCTTGTTCCTTGTATTCAAGTTTTTTTTTTTTAGTTTATTATTATTTTTTAATTAAATGGGGGTAATCAAACTAGTTGATTCTCAAATTAAAATTAAAATTTGAAAGATTTTTCAAGGAATTTTTTTAACATTCTCATCTTCTACAAATGAATAATAGGATGAATGAGTTTCCATCTTCGATTCTCCAAAGTATAGGAAACTCATTAACGAAATTATCCATTTTTGTGTGATATCATGGGGCACAAGGTGTGAATAAGACACTAACTTTGGGGCAATGTGTAATTGAGGTACTATTTTTATCAAGTGCAAGTATAGACACAAATCATTAGATTGATGCAAATAAAGACTTTGAAATAAAAATTCATGTGTTGCAAGTGAGTGTTGGGTTTTAAAGGCAGCAAAGTAAGTAAAAATTAAAAGTTTTCTCTTTCAACTTATTTTGAATCCTTATGAATCCAATAACAGTTAAGGAAAGTTTAGTGATTTTTACCTTAAAGAAACATACCTCTTCTCCTCTTCTTTCAACTCACTTAAAATCCTTATAAATTTGTTGATAGTTAAGGAAGGTTCAGTGATTTTTACCTTAAAGAAACATACCTCTTTGATGCATAACTCTAATCCACAATTTTTTAACAAAGCCTTGAGAGTCCAATGTAGAACTTCTCTAGTAGTATCCACATGTACACTAAAGGAATTAAGCGAAGACTAAAATCCTCTAGTTCTAGTTTAGAGAAATTGTAGTATTATATATAAAAATTAATGTTTATCAATTAGACTTGTAAAAAATTACGTAGAAAAAACTGTATCGTTTTAATAAAATATTATGTAAAAGATTGAAACATCCTTATCCCTACTTTAAAAATAATTAAGATATTTTAATCTTTTGTAATAGGACTTTATTAAAACTATATAATTTTGAAATATTGTTTCATCTAATTTTTTGCAATATAAGTTGATACCCACTTTTCTATTTTATATATATATATATATATATATTGTTCTAATTCACCTATGGTGGAATGAATAGTTTGAAATTTTGAATGTAAGGGTTTAGTGGAGTACGGTTTGCAGCTTTTTATTTTTAGTTTTGATTTTCACAAATTTTGTAATTATTAAAAATCAAAATAAAATAAAAAACAATTTGTTTAAGATAAATTTTAAATACTCACAACCATAAATATAAACTTATTTAATAGTATTTAAACTTTTTTTATTCTTATTTTTTTATTAATCATAATGATATATTATAAAAACACATGAAACTAAATGAGTTGTGACTTTTTCATTTAAAGTTACAAAATTTATAAAAATTGATATTAAAATCACAACCATACTAAATGCTTTCTAAAATCTTAACCTAGTTTCGAATTAATAAACCAAGAGGCTATAACAACAAATTCTTTATTTGATATCTTTATTCATGCAAAAGGCAAACACAAGATTTAGATTCGTAATTTCTCACTTTTAATAAGTAAAATCACTTGGTCTAGTTGGTTATTTGTGCAATTTTAGAAGAAAACAATAATTTGCATAATAATATTCCCAACCATTTTTCCAATTATGGTATATATTCTCAAAAGTTAGTTATTCAGTTAACCTTTATGCGTCGTTCTCGTCCCTCTTTTTTTTTTTTGAACACCGGCATTGATCTCTTGTCTCTTCCATTGATATTTTTTAACAAAATCTCAACGAAAATTTACTCTTAATTTGTTCCACAAAACATGCACCCACGTTCTCTTGATTTCTACAACAAGAAAAAGTCCCACCGAACCCTTCATTTACCCATCTCCCCAAACTCCATAGAATCAGGAAAAACATAATTTCCCTTTTGATTTTCCGGTGAACTTCAATTCTATTTGGAAGTGGAGAAAGCAGAGGTTTCTTATCTGTTTTTTCTTCTACATTTTCATTGGTAAACAAAGGAGATGGTTCTTGCTTTGCACGGAGGGCACATGAAGAAGAAAATGTTTGATATTCCAGGGAGAAATTTTTTGAGTGCGATCCTAAGGAATGATGGGGATGATAGTCCATTGGAGACCCAACAACAGATAGGATCTGCAACATTTACTAGGGAAAAGTCTCTGGTCTCTAAGATGCCAGAGACTACTGTGGAGGCTAGGCCAGAAACTCCCAAGGAGAGGCAGCCATCTTCAGGTGAAGTTCATATGGGTGTGTGTGAGTGTGTATATATATATATATATATACTCTTCTTCACATCTTCCAATATGAAGGATTTTGGGTAATTTAATTTCTTCTGCTTTGGTTGTTTTTGGTACAGATATGGACATGATGAAGGAAAAGTTTGCTAAACTGCTTTTGGGTGAAGATATGTCAGGAGGAGGAAAGGGAGTTTCTTCTGCTTTGGCTTTGTCAAACGCCATCACAAACCTTGCTGGTAACAATACTTACATATAAGTTTCTGGCATGGCTACAGGAGTTTTCTAGAGTCTGTAACATAATATCTAATCATCAATATATATGAATGTCATTCTATGCAGCATCAATCTTTGGAGAAATACACAAACTAGAACCAATGGCTCCGGATAGGAGAGTACGGTGGAAAAAGGAAGTTGATTGGCTTTTATCTGTAACTGATCACATTGTTGAGTTTGTTCCTTCACGACAGACATCTAAGGATGGCACAAACATGGAAGTAGGCATTTTCTCTCCCTTTCCTTTTTCATATACAGATTTCTTACATTCAGGTTTTGATAACAATCTTCCTTGCAAATGTAGATTATGGTGACGAGACAAAGAAAGGATTTGCTTATGAACATACCTGCCTTGAGAAAACTAGATGCCATGCTAATTGTGAGTTTTTCTGAATCATCCTCTTTTTCTTTTTATGATGAAGAAAAGAACTTGAGATTGGTGGAACTTTTTTCTGATCAAATTGCTGGGTAGGAAATCCTTGACGATTTTGGAAATGAGAATAAGGAATTCTGGTATGTGAAGAGAAATGCCAATGATTCAGAGAACGAGAGTAGCCACGGAAGGCAAGATGATAAATGGTGGCATCCCGTTGTTAACGTTCCTTCAAATGGCTTGTCAGAGTCGTGCAGGAGATGGTTGCAGTCTCAAAAGGACTCTGTCAACCAAGTGCTAAAGGCAGCCATGGCCATCAATGCTCAAGTCCTTTCTGAAATGGAGATCCCCGAGAACTACATTGACTCCCTCCCTAGGGTAAAGGAAACAAAAACTAAAATCTCCATAAAATTAACTAATTAAACTCTTAGTCTTGAGTGAATGGATCCTTGTTGTTCCTTGTCTCAATATTTTCCCTTGTTTCAACTCTGATTGCTTTTCTTGATTATGTTGTAGAATGGGAGAGCAAGCCTTGGGGAATCAATCTACAAGAACATCACAGTGGAATACTTCGACCCTGAGCAGTTCCTCTCAACCATGGACCTCTCTACAGAACACAAAGTGATTGACCTAAAAGACAGGATTGAGGCCTCCATTGTAATTTGGAAGAGGAAGATGCACCAAAAGGATAGCAGGTCCACTTGGAGTTCAGGTGTAAGCTTGGAGAAGAGGGAGCTCTTTGAAGAGAGGGCAGAAACTATCTTACTTATAATCAAACAGCGATTTCCTGGAATCCCACAATCTCAATTAGACATATCTAAGATCCAATATAACAGGGTACAGAAACACCTAACTAAGAATGAGAATCAATGTTTTCTCCTTTCCTAAAAGAACCATATTTCAGAAACTTATTTCTCCATTTTTTTCCCCCTAAATTTCACAGGATGTGGGACAGTCTGTTCTAGAGAGCTACTCAAGAATACTAGAGACATTAGCATACACAGTTCTGTCTAGGATTGAAGATGTCCTTTACGCCAATGCTGTAGTTCAAAAATCATCATCCCCAACAGAATCCGAAGAAGAGGTGGAGAAGTCAGGATCACCAACTTCAATGACACTCTCAGATTTCATGGGTTGGAATTTGGATGCAGCCAACTTTCCAAAAGATCAGGAATCCAAAAACAAAACTGAAAATGAAAAGATGATGGCCAAAGCCCCCGCTTCCCCAAAGAAAGCTACATATCTGGAGAGGATTGAAAACAACTCAAGTGGAAAGAGAAGTCCAACCGCTCGCCATTGATGCCGAGAACCTGTAGAGGAAGAGTAGAAGAAGAGAGAAAATTAGTGAGATGACAAAGAAAAGTAGAGACAAATAAAATAGTTAGAAAAGCTGACCTCGTGTAAATATTCAGCCCCATGTAGGAAAAACTTATAGTGAGTAGTTCTTATATGGTTCTTCCTTCCAGCTTCTGGACAGGGAAGTGAGTATTAATCATTGGGTTGAGGCACCGTGGGAAAGTGCTACTTTTCTAGCTGTTATATCTGGATCTTCTGGTCTGCAATTGAATTTTTTTTTTCCTTCAAAAATTGAATTCAAACTTTATTTTTCAGTTCTTCGAGTCCTGTTTTGTTTTGTCGTTTGCGCACATTTTGTCTCCATAACTTGAGGGGAAGCGTAATTAAAATGTGCGAAGGATTAGAAATTGAGTCCTCATCTTTTGACATCAATATTGGAATTTCTATGTGTGACTTCCTAATGGCTATTTGAAATCTAAAAGAAAAAACAAGTAGTAAAGGAAGTATATTTGGAGTATCCCTTTATCTCGTTTATAACAAAGCTCTATTCTTTGCCGATTAAAAAAAAAAGTATCTCACAATTAAAAGCATAAAATAGGTTAAAAAACTGAGTTTGAACCCATTGATTAAGGTTGGCTCAAGTAATTTAGGAGTCACTCAAACCATGCTAGAAATATAGGTTTGAATCCCTTTAACATCATTTGAGTATAAACAATTTTAATGAGTCACATTTACAACTCTTGAAGGTAAAATTTTATTTGAACTATAAAACAACGAACTCATATAAAAATGTAGGTGTATTATCCAAATATATATAGAAAATAATATGTATCAATTCTAATTTCTATAAAAAATTAAAATCCCAACTTCAAGAAGGTCATCTTGTAGTGTATATTTTCAAAATCAATTTTTAGATTGATTGAATATATATAACTAGTTGATTATTTGTAGAGAATTTACCACCATTAAATATGTATTAGAAAATACAAACTCCTTAATTGAATGATTATAGATGTTAAATCAACTTAAAAATTAATGTGCATGATCTATATTAATAGAACATTAAATCTAATGCTTTTTTGAAAATATTCATTGGAAAATGATGTTTTTGAAGTTAAAACTTCAGTATTTTTATGAAAGTTAAGACTGATATGTGTTATTCTCATGTATGTGTGGGGTAAACAAACTGCGTTGAACATTGAAAAGTGCAGCATTTCCTATACTTAAAGAAAGTCTGATCAAGTAAAATTAGAAGATAGCTGAACCTTTCATTGTCTCAAACATATTGGAATTTAAAGCCTAAGTTGTTGTTGTTATTGTTATTATTGTTATTATTGCAGAAATTCCATGCCATAGGCATACTACAAAACACAAGTCCATGCGTTATAACTTTTAAATCAGATTAGGAGTTACGGATGACTACAGCATGTATAGCATCCACAAGATGAGGGACTGTCTTAGAGCTAAGACCTGCCATACTAATCCTCCTGCAAATAGTTGAGATTGTGGATTTAAGCCCTCATATATGTAAAATCATGCAATTACAATGTTGCATTTAGCAGGCTAGATAAATTCAGGCACTTGCAGAACAATTCTGTGTAATTGAATACAACATCGGGATGAAAAAAAATGGAACCATATGAATGGGGTTCAGGGAGGAAGATACAGTGGACCAATAGAACATACACTTCTTTACGATGTCCATAACATTTTTCTGTACTTTAGGCTGTGCAAAACTGTCTTGAAAACAAATTATTTACTGCAGTCTGCTGTAGCGAATGAGCAGTCATAAATGTTGGACAAAAATATACAGCAAGATGTTTGTTACATTTGACTTGAAATGTTTTTACAATAAATGATTATTAGTTGGATGATAGTTAATATTGATGATATCAGATAATTTTTCAGCCAAATCAAAGTAATTGATGAAATCAGATGACTCATGCAAGAAAGCTACAAGAACTCTTAAAGCATGATTCTTGCAAGCAAACAATTTTAATCACAACAAGAAAAGTTTTGAAGGGAAGAGATCATTTACCCATCAGATGTCATGTAAATGTGATACTCTTTGGTCATGAAGGCAACTTGATCACTATTCAGTCCTGTGAAAGTAAACATTCCAATCTGCTTGATAATATGACTCCAGTCACCTGGAGTACCTGCAAAGAAGGAAATTCAAATGTGTTACACTATGAGTTTTTATTTAAAGCGGTAAAGTCTTCTGGCTAAGAGTGAAATATTGAAATATCCACACACTTGAAGCTTTTCTCAATAACACCTATTACGAGATTAGCAGAGTCCAGGATGTTTTATAATGTGTTTTTAGGTTGATTCAGACAAAGATATTTTCAGTTACTCTAACAACTTAGTCAAAGGGAAGAAGATACACAAACAAAAGGAGAAGATTATAATTAAAACCTTTTGCACTTAAAGCATCGAACAGCTGTTGGCGCATGGTAATAATCCGATCTGCCATTGCTTTCAGTTCAACCTTCCACTCATTATACATATTGCTGAAGAAAATATAATCAAATTTCAAAGTAAAAAAAATTAAAGGTAAAGCCCATAAATCCAATAAATAGCCTCACTCAGGATTCGAGAACATTAGTTATCTTATTAAAAAGGGAAACACATAAATGATAAGATTTCAAAAATGAATTAAAAAGTTAAGTGTTAATTATTAGAATAGATAAAATTTTTTGGTAAGAGAAAGTGTTTTGCCCATTCACTTCCAAAAATTTTTTTTAAAGATTTGTCTAAAAAATTATTTTTTATTAATATCTTAAAAAATTAAATATTAAATTAAAAATTTTATACATAACATATATAGAATATAGAATAAAATAGAGAGTACCATCATCAATTTTCCAACTTATTTTTGTAGACTTTGGATCCAGTTCTAGGAAAACTTTGGGTTGGGTTTCTAAGGCATTGGGCTAGACTCTTATTTTTGCCTCTAGTTTTACGCTAACTGGCTATATTTACTAAATATTGATAGTGGATATTTTTACATATCTTAATTAATTATTTTATATAATTAAAAAATATTATAAATTGATAAAATTAATCAAAACAAGCATACTCCTACTTTATATTTTCACCAAGTAATTATCGAGGTCCTCTCTGCTCAACCTCTGTTTCTTCGTCTCTCTTTACCCTTCATTTTTTGCTAATGCTTTCTTTCAATCTCACTCTCCTTTTCCATGTCGTTGCCCCCTCGAGATCCCTTATTGTTTTCATTATTCAGCCCAAACCAAGTAGGTTTTTTTTTTACCTTAATTGCAATTATATGATTTTCTCTAGATTGCCTTAATTAATGACATGCAAATGAATTAAAATATATACCTGACCACATCATGTAAAGAAAATTGTCCAGGGAGAAGCCTATTTGTGGAACGTACTGCTGAAAAAGATAACTTCAACCGATTTAATAACAGGACTAATTCATTACAAATACAGGAGAGCCACTGGTTTGCTCCCTACGGACAGGATTTTGAAAGTACATAATTAGAAATACTGGCTGCTTAGCTTGAAAACCTCATATTGCTGCTGTTTTTGGCACGTTGAAGGATAGATAAGATATCCGGATTCTGCAATGCTTTTCTGTAAAAGCTTCTTCGTCCAAGTTTCTGGGGACAGGTTTGAAAATGAAAATTTGGATTCGGACTTCTACTTAATACAGAGATGCCATCACCAACAGGCACTGGAATTTATCAAATTAATTGTAATTTATGTTAGGGACTCAAAAATAATTATAAAAAAAAAGGAGGAAATTAAACCTCTGGATACCAGAGACGCTTTTACCATGAGCCAAATCCGAGTCGCATTTATCAGTATTTTTCAGCGGAGAAGAAGAAATGTTGGTGGAGGTGTACAAGAAAAGCGGCATATCAAGCTCCCGCTTATCTACCCGTCTTGCACAATTTGAAGCAATACCATCACTGCATGGAAAACTTTCATTTACTGCTTTCAAATTCCTATAAGAAATTTAGAGTTCTGTTTGGCAAGTGCAAATAGGAATTTTTTATATGATGTATGGTTGTATGGGTAAAATACAACTAATAGTTATTTTTTAATTGACAAAATAAGTGTCATTGTACCTTGTATTATCATGTTGATATTTTTTTAAGTAAAGTTATAAGTTAAAAGTATAATTTAAATGCAGTTAACTGTTGTGACCTAAAAATTACATGATTTAAGTACACTTCCCAATTTAAAAGTGGAGTTTTCATAACTCAATAATTATGTGCCTTGTCATAAAATATATTTCCCTACCCTAGGTTGAAATTCAAACCCTCCTCCCAAAATTATAATCCGTTGAAAAAATATTATTTAAATATTAAGACTACTAAAATATTTGTTGATAACATGATATAAGAGGAGTTTTATTAAAAATATTTAAATAAATTTAAAAGTCAACTTTATAATAAATATATAATTGTTCAACCTAAAAAATTTTTGTTGTATTATAAAGAGTCCAAATAAATAGTGTAAATTAGAAAAAAGAAACCATTGACTTAGAGAACCGTTCCTAATACTATAGTTTAAATTGTATCATTAATGTAATCTTAACTATAAAGTCTTTTTTAATATATATAGGTCATAGTAGCTATTAGCTTTTTCTAAAGCTAAATTAAACAATCCTATAATTTTCAAATGAAAACAGTTTGAAGTTTTGAGACCGAGGTCATGAAGGGGTACCTGGAATGATTATTGTAATTGCATGTAGATAAGTAACGCCGGTGATGTTTCGGCGAATACGCACTCCACTGCACTCTCATCAAAGCCAGCTTCTCGGCGTATAGTTGGGAAGAAAGGAGTCTCTGTAGATGAATAAATGAGCAAAACAGAGTGATAATTTCGGAAACTGATGCTGAATTATGCTTACTTGTCCAAGGCAGTCGATGCGAAGCTCGGCGTCGGAAAATTCATTGGTTACGGCGATACAGCGGTTGAGATTAGCAGAGACGTTCCCTAGGTGATCGACGAAAGTCACTACCGCTTTGCGTATGTACTCCTTCGTGTTCTCCACCACCCTGCGATAATGCAATTTCCTCCGTTGATGAATTGAAACCTGAATTTCCAATCGGAGAGTAATTATAGAAATTAGTTACAGAACGAAACTCACGCTCTCTTCTCCTCGGAATTCCGGAATGTGGTTTCACAGTAATCGGCGGCGTAATGAAGCTGAGACCGCAACTCTCTGAGTTCCTGTTTTTTCAATAGCAGAGTAGTTCAACAAAGTATAAACCAAAACCCCCAAAAAGAAAAAATGAAGATAAATTAAGGATGGGTATGAACTTGGAGAGAGTTCTCAAAACGGAATCCTTCATCTTCTTTACTCGGGTCACCGGATAACAATTCGAATGTCTGCATCTTTTGCTTTGCTTTTGAATCCAGAGAAAGAAAGGATATGTTCTTTTTATTTGTTGTGTGAACTCTATAAGGAGGAGACGCTCGTGATGGGGTAATTATGAAGCAAAGAAAGGAACAAAAAAAAGGCGTTAAAGAGATTATCTGAAGAAAGAAGACGACAAAAGAAATTGCAGTCCCGTGATCTTGTGTTTTTTGCTTTTTGCTCTGTATAAAAAAGTGAGTGTCACTTACTGACTACACCTATATTCTTTCTTTTGTTCTGCAAAATCCATCCGAAGTTCTTATTTTTTTAAATTTTTTGTCATTTGTTTCAAATTATACCTTCATTTGACTTTCTTCTGTTTGCTTGATTTATTCAGAAATTCATACTTGAATTTTTGGAATACCTCTTTTCCGTGAAGTCTCGTGATTTTCTTTTTTTAGGCCCGTGTGGTAGGGTGGTTTTGAGGTAGTAGTTAGTATTTTTTATCCAAATGGTTATAAGATAAGTGTTTGATAAATTTATATATTTTTAAATTATTATAAATAAGTTATTTAGTCTAAATTTTTATTTAGTAGTTTGGAATTAATAGATAGTAATTAAAATATAAACCGTTTAGTGGATTAAAAAAATCAATTTTTGTAGTTTTTTATACCAGTAAATTTATCTTTTTAAATTTTTTAATTTTTAGTTACAGTTTTTAATTAATATTTATTTAATAAGTTTTAATTTTGTTTTTTGCCTTTAATAATATTAAGTAATTATTATATTTTTATTTTGACATAAATTTATCATAAAAATATATTATTTTAATAAATAAAATTTACTAATTGGACAACATGATTAATTTTTTAATTTAAAAATAATATAATTTTTTCTTTATTAAAAATAAAAATGTGGGTGGAATTACATTATTATAATTAATTTTATTTATTTATTTTCTT